TTCGCGGCGCGAGCATTGTTCGGTCCGGTGTGGAAGTTCCGCCGCTGTCTTCACGTCGCGTCGCGTTCCGCGTACGTTCGAGCACGCGTGCGCGCGCGCGCACGCGAGATATCCCGGAATCTTGAAAACGAACGAGGGCTGTAATACACATCGCGGCGCTCGGACAAAGCCGTTGTAAGTTGTAAGCCGCCACGCGCAAATATTAGCCGTGCCTCTCGAGACGGGGAGAAGATAGCGGCGGACTGTACTCGGACGACCGCGAATGAGAGAAAGAAAGGAAGGAAGCTCTCGCTGACGTTTCGAGTGTTTGACGTTCCCAGGTAAACGCGCTCCGCAAAACGCTCCGTGTTTGACGGCAAACACAACGGCGGACGTACGCTTGTCTTCGGTCGGGTTCGAATTCCGCGAGTGATACGGGGAAGAAAGAAAGAGAGGAGGGAGAGAGAGAGAGAGAGAGGGAGATATTGTTTACTGCCGCGGTGATACGGCGCTCGGGCTTCCGCGAATTCCGAATCTCGTCGCGTGAGGCGCGATAGAATCCGTTGGCGTGACGCGCGGCGTGAATTCGAATTCGGCTCGCCGCCAACTTCGCGCGATTGCGCGGCGGAGTTCAGGCAGTTCGCGACGCGACGCGACGTTCGCGGGATTCGCGAGTAGAGTGTTGTGTCTCTCGGTAGACGCGGGGGGAAACGCATGACGCGGACTTGCGGGTCGTCCGCGGTACGTTACATTGGCATTGTTGTGAACTCGTCGCGAGCCTCGATGGCGCGACGGTGCGCAAATTGTGAGAACGTAACGAGGTGCGCGGTGAATCCGACGCGGTGTCGTTCGTGAATCGCGAACTGGGTGAATTCACGCGCGAGAGGCGAGTCTCGCGGGATCCCCGATACTCTCGAACGTCGTTGTCCCGGTATTTGGATATATCGGGCGAATACTCGCGAGTGTGTCGGAAGTGTGGATCGTTTAAACGTATCGAGATAAAGTGGTGCAACGTATGACGAACGCGAAAATGAGAATGTCGACGAGCGAGCTGCAGGCCGTTATCGCGCTCGCGATACTGTCGACCATCAGTCTCGGCAATGAGATTAAGGATTACTGCTCGATACACAAGTACGACAATTTGCCGGGCGGCCTGAGCTTCACGAAGGAGGTCGTTACCATGGAGTACGCGAACGTGGGTGCGTTCAAGGCTCTTCACTGCTGCCTCAGGGGATACAGGAGCATCGAATGGTGAGTCCCACTTCGTCTTTTCACGTCGCGAAACAAAACTTATTTAGCTAGGAATACTAGGGTAACTGTTCCTATTAATATGCCTTTAAAGCCGTGTATTCACCTAGCGAACGAACACCGAACGAACAGCAAACGTAAAAATTTGTATTGTTGTTTGTTACATAAAGGTCGCACAAGTTTAATTGCTACATGGAACGAACATCGAATCTGGTCGAATACCAGTATTCCGTACAATCGAGAAAAAGAATAAACTGCTCACAAATATAAACACTAATATTCGAACATTCGCGTTCGGTGTTCGTTCGCTAGGTGTATACATGGCTTTAGCCAACTTGCTTATTACTGAATTAATTATTAAATATTGTAGCTTTAATTTTATCTGCTTACGATCAATATCGGTTTTTCAACCATTTCTTTTTCTTCTAATATTTCTTGAATTTAAAAAATGTTAATACTCTTTATAATGTTTTTGACAAAAATAAAAAACATGTTTATGTCCCTATTATAGTGAGTCCTCCAAGCGACGATGGCCCTATTAATGTGCCCCCAATTTGTGTGCCTATCTACATTTGATTCATTTTAACGTATAGTTACTGAAACAGGTAATAAATTTAAGCTAATTGTTTAGGTTAATATTACATAAATCATTATTTCAATTATATTTATTTCAATGTACACTTATAACACAACGTTTTCAACTCCAATACAGAACACATTAATAGGGACAAGCTTAAAATCTTGCAGTACGTATTATTGGATTCACATAAATTCTTCATATCTTATGAGAAATATTTAAAATACTTTAATACTCAAAAAATAAAATATTATCTTCGGTATCGCATGCATTAACAATTTAACTTAACAAAAAAAAATATTTTTTCTTATTTATTCGTGCTAGTTTTCTTTATGACTTATTGAAATACAAAAGCACCCTAATAGGGACAGGCACAGTAATTGGTACAGTTACCCTAACAGTCACACAAAAATCAATTTTTTATTTTTATTAAGGCTCAATCGCATCAACGTTATTTTTATTTTAAAATTCTCTTTCTCTCTTTTTCAAAGTCGAGAAAGAGAGAGGCAGAGATGAAGAGAGTTTTAAGCCTCATTCAAAGTAACGTTGGCGCAATCGAGCCTAAGTGCATTCTACAATAAACCTAAGTTTTAAGTCTTAAGTTGTAAGAAATTGACCAATCACAATCGAATGTGAGAAACATAATCGACTATGATTGGTCAATTTCTTACGACTTAAGCTTAGGTAATGATTTATTGTAGGAAGCATATTATAAGAATTGACCAATTACAGTCGAATATTCTTTGATCAATTACAGTCGGATATGAGGAAAATATTCGATTATGGTTGGTCAATTCTTATAACTACAACCCCTTACAACTACGTTTACGCAATTGTAGAATGGGTTTAAGAATTGCATTGTGACAAAAACTAGAGCACTCTGAAAGTAATAAAAGAACAGTAACGGAAATTGAAGTACGTAAAATATATAGAGGAAAGAAGGCGGTTATAGAATAGGTGGGGAATTGTGAAATATATCACGATATCTCTTGTATAGCTTGCGTTGTATTCTGAAAGCAATCGTCAAAATTACTTATATATAGCTGCTTAGATGTTATAACGTGATGTCCACTAATTGATGTGTATCGTGTTATCATAAAAGCTGCATTTTAATTTTGTGGATTAGATTACACAGCTGCAGACAGTTTTACAGGTTTTACTGTTTACCTCGTTTTGAGAAGTACTTATATTGGTATAGATTTTACAACTTTATTGTATAGCTTGGGACCTTGAGTGTGTGCACTTTGAAATAATATAATCGAATTGAAGGAGAATACAACTTTTTTTCGCGACCGTTCGTTTTGTTAGAAATTGTTTTATTTCTACATTTTCGTATGGTTTTTTTCTTCATTCTTCGGAAACCAAAAATGATCAACAATGATGCTGCACAGTAAAAATATTTTGTATTTGTGTTCATTCAAGTCTTTGTTAAAATTCTGTATTGAATTTTTAACATATTTGAGTGCTAATTTAATATAATGTGATTACGTTATTTAAATATTTTGTGTTAAATTAACATTTCTTAGAGTCAATTAACAAAATTTATGAATAAATGGATAAATAATATAAATGTAATGCGTTTTAAAACATAAATTCTGAGATAAATTAATAAAATACTTGCCATTTAAATATCATAAATGTTAATTTTATCAAAAAATGTTATAATGTGTTTCCACAATTTGCTTATAAATTGTGTCATATTACTTTCTTATTTAATTTTTCTAAGTTAATTTTTTTACTTAATATTTGTATTACTTTCTAACATATTTTGTGTTAACACAAAGTTGAGTGGACGTTTGAGACATTTGGAATATGTTACAAATTTTTTAATTGTCTATACTCGAGAAAAAATTGTATGTACATTGAAATAAAGTCTAAAATCCACAATCACGTTGTTACGAAATCGCTGTCAGTTATATTTTAATTATTTAAAAACTAATTCAGAATTGTTGATCCAACTCTCTCTGAATTAGTTTTTAAATGATTGAAGTATAATTAATAACGATTTTGTAACAACATGATTATGGATTTTTGACTTTATTTCAACGTATATACAATTTTTTCTTCTTGAATATTAAAAAGTTTAACAATTAAAAAGTTTGTTAAACATATTTCAAAACAACGTACAAGGAATAAGAATTTTATTCCTTGCATCAACGAATCAATTTTTCTTATAAACATAATAATAACTTTCGATTTCCACGAAGAAAAATATACATATAAGAAAATGTATGCAGAAACAAAACGGCTCTTAAATGATCGCGAAAAAGTGAAAGTTTTCCCTCTTTTGTTAACGAAAATAATGTGTGCGTGCATGTATCCGACGTGTAAAAAGTTATACTACATATATATTAGTAGTAGTATTCCATATCCCTTCTTCTATTCCATAATCGCGTTCTTTTTTACTTTTCAGTTTTTTGTAAATTGCGTTCGTTCTACCCAAGAACTTTCACCTATAGCATAATTGGTAACACTCTGCATCTAGCAAACTTGTACCGAAAGTAGTTATGTCGCATGAATATCTACTGGTATTCTATATATACAACTGCCTTCTTTTCTCTGATGATTGTAAAAAGCGAAAGACGTTGATACATGTATATAATTTATTAATAAGAAAGAAAAAAGCTTAAAGTAATAATAGATAATTAGCTCTCGGATAGAAACTTGAATATAATAATATGTTTATAAGTCTCTGATTACCTTTTTTTATATTTTTTTTAGCGACTCTCTCATCAAACTCCAATTTTATATTCCTTATTTATTTTTTAATTCTGTCAATTTATCTAACGATTATATATATATTACCGAGTAGTTCAGAAATTAAATCTCTGCTGAATAATTTGTTAATAAGAACGTTTTATTTAAAATAATAATATTAATTCTCGAATAGCAGATTATAAGTAGACATAAAATTTTATGCCTGTGATTATCTTTTATTCAACTTTTTTTATTCTTTAATCTAGCTCCAGTTTTATATCATTTATTCTTTAATATTTTCAGTTTATTTAAGAACTATACATATTGCTTAATATATATAATTTAGAAACTGAGTTGAATCTTGATTCTTTTTTGAATAATTTATAATTAATAAGAAAAAAAAGCTATATGCATATATTTAAAATAATATATTTTTCACAATAAATTTCAACGATTTATTTTGTGATATTACTATTTTAATTTAGTTTAGGACTGCGTTTTTAAAGACCTGTGGTATTCGGCATTCAGTTTGAAGAACTGGAGAATGTATTTAAAAATTTATTAGAAATATTAGGTATTAAGCATTAAGATCTTAGCGTAAAGTTTAAGTCTCGACTGTATTTGATTATTCTTACTTGATTTAATAATATATTAATTCTCGGATAAAATATTGAATAGAGAATAATATGGTTGATGTCCTATTCCCGCAGATTATCTTTTATTCAATTTTTTTAAGGCTTTCTAAGGCAACCCCAGCGTTATATTCCTCCATTGTGTTTTAATATTTTCGATTTTTATTTGAGAATCATGCTTAACAATTTGAAAACGCGAAGAGAAGAATACGTTTCTGCGCGGTTTGAGAATCCCTGCCACACTGCGTAATATCCTTCCTCGCGTTTCTTTCGCGAAGGGAATGCTTCTGCTCGTTCTCCACCTTCCCAAGAGCATTTTGCCTCCCCTTTATTCGCACACGATCCGATGGGTGATAAATGCGAATGAAAACGAATCGAGGACTGCTTTCGGCACAAAAGCTGCCGCACGGAGAGCGTTCGCATTATGCGAATGACATTTTCCTTTTAGCGCCAGGCATTCATACCTTGCCTCATACCTGAAGCACCTGCTAACAGATCTTCTGTTATCGTCGCGAGCGACACGTATCGATAACCCTTTCACGCTACCGAGACGTTGTATAGACCCGGTTCTAAAATGAGTCCCAGAAAATCTATGACTCTTTGAGCAGCGAGCACTTTCTTCTCTCTTGTGGACGATCTTTTTATTTTTTATCTCGATACCTCCAGTCGAGTCTGGAGTTAAAAAATACAGTTAAAATAAATTAGGAAGTTAATTGGTGAAAAGAAATTGAGTTGTTAGTGTTTGCTGATATTTAGATGAAATTATTTAGATAATCTAGATGAAATGGCAATCTTTACTAGAATATATATTATCTTCATTTGTATTTTAGATAAAAAATATTTTTTTGAAATTATCTAGATAATTAGTAATTCATCTTAGATAATTTGAAAAAAAAAGATAATTATCTAGATAATTTGAAAAAATATTTTTTATCTAAGATACAGATGACGATAATATATATTCTAAATTAAGATGATGTAGCCATTTTATTTAGATTATCTAGATAATTTCATCTAGATAATACTGTCAGTTGTTTTAGTTGATTAAAAGCTATCGATCTATTATAAAGCGGGAATTTTTTTTTACGAAACGCTCG